AAAATACGTTTGTTTGAATTTTTAGAAATATAAAATTAGTGTTACAAGTACAGTGCAGGTATACAGTGGGACTCCAAGGTAGTGACAATAATGACTACATATATCTTGTGTTTGTTTGTTTGTTTATTTTTCATTTAATTCGATTTTTTTAGTGATTGTAATGATGAAGATAGTGATGAGGAATGGGAGCTGATCAAGTCAGCTGAAGGAAAAAGAGCCAAACCTGCACCATCAACATCAGCCAAGAAATGCAAGACTACCCCTGCCCCACTGACACCACCATCAACGTCTTCTGGCCATGCTCTGTCCCTACGCCAGGTTCCAAGAAATACAAAGGATCAGCTTCAAAGAGGACACCTAAGGGGAGGTCCAATTCTACAAAAAAAGGTCTCTCGCAAGCTGCTAGTGATGGTGATGATGATGAAGAAGAGGATATGTGGCATGACATCTCGGAAGACGACAAACAGCCTAACCTTCCCAATTTCCAGCCACAGCGTCCTCCGGGGCCACAGCTCCTCTCATGTACATCGTATACTTCTCTTGAGTTGTTTAAGTTGTTTATGTCCATGTCTGTGGTTGGAAAAATTGTTGAGAATACGAATGCGCATGCTGAGAAAAGAGAAAAAGATACACCTGGTATCCTCTCACAGTTGAGGAGTTCTACACCTAAATTGGCCTCGTCATATACATGGGTTTGACCCTGCTAAGACAATTCAATGACTACTGGAGTGAGAAATCAATTTACAATCTTCCCTTTCCCCGCTCCGTCATGTCCAGGAACCGGTTTCTGGCAATAACATGGAATCTTCATCTTTGCAATCTGGAGAAGGATGAGGAGAGCATGCGTAAAAAAGGAACCCCAGAGTATGACCGGCTGTTCAAAATAAAGCCTCTGTATATGGATCTTCTGTCTGCATGCCAGACCTATTTTCAACCTAGCAGAGAGCTGTCTATTGACGAAAGGATGGTGGCATCCAAGGCCCGTATAGGACTAAAGCAGTACATGAAGGACAAGCCCACGAAATGGGGATACAAACTCTTTGTGCTTGCTGATTTAGCCACTGGGTACACCTGGAACTTCTTTGTGTATGAGGGAAAGAGCAAGCTGAAGACACAGAATGGACTAGGCTATGACTCAGTTACTCAGCTTGTGAATCACCCCTTGCTGGGCAAAGGTTATAAACTGTACATGGGCAATTTTTACACAAGCCCCAAGCTTTTATCTGATTTGTATGAGGCAAAAATGCTTGCATGTGGCACCATCCCAATGAACCGACAAGGCTTTCCACGCACCAGGTGCCACGACATGCCCAGGAAAGCAGTGAGAGGAACGATCCGCTGGATTAGGCGTGGTGAGCTTCTGTTTGTCAAGTGGATGGACAACAGGGAGGTAGCTTTATGCACCACTATGCACAAAGCGTGTGACGGAGACAACGTGAGCAGACAAAGATACTAAGGGCATCCGGCAGGTGAGCCAAGTCCCTATCCCATGTGCAGTCCAGGACTACAACAAGAATATGGGTGGTGTGGAGCTCTCGGACACCCTGGTTGGCTGCTATAACGTGCTGCACAAAACCAAGAAGTGGTACAAGACCGTTTTCTACCATTTCATTGACATTGCAGTTGTGAACAGCTTCATAATGCACAAAGAGTTGACTAAGGCAAACAGTCAGGGGAAACAGTGATGCACAAGCAGTTCAGAGAAACTCTTGCAACTGACTTAACCAAAATGCTCACCCGCTTGGCTCAACCTCAGCCGCCTTTAGCAGGTGATGAATGTTATCCCGATTTCTTCTCAGAAGACTCTAGAGTTGGGAGAAGGGCGTGCGAGTTGTGCAAACAAGACTGCAAAAAAGTGAAGACCTCTGCTTTCTGCATGAAGTGTAGAGTGGCATTGTGCTTGATGCCCAAGCGCAACTGTTCCCTGCAGTGGCACCAGGAAGGGCTTCACTACGGAACATAATGGGCTTTAACCAGAGATGGGGGCTCGAATTGAATTGGAGTTACATGTTCACTGATTTGCAACTTGACTCAGATGTCTTCTTAACTGACTCACAGCATAAGGCTTACGAGGTAAATTAATTCCAACAATTTAAACCAGCTGTCGCTAAAGGATCAGCTAGAGTGCTAACTTTCAGTCCTTAAAGACACTAACTAGCTAGAATTACTTGAATTCTCCTTTTAAAAACCGATATGAAATAATTTAATCAAAAAAGCACACTTATATTGTTTGAGTTAGCTGAGTGGTTTGATGTTCACTTTTGCAACTAGCGTAGCTACTTATTTATCAGCCAACTTGGGGTGCACACGACCAGGAATGCAAAACATTCCTTATTCTTCATCACAGCTCATCATCCACTGTCTGACACAAACATTATTAGGGCTTTACTTTTGTACAGTGCCTGCAGCGAATAATGACACCAAACTACTTGAGATTCCACTCACACCCCTAAAACTGAGATTTAAGTTGCACCCAAGAGACTCGAGGCCTAACTTGCACCTCAGAGACTTGGGACCCAACTCGGACTTGCATGTTAGAGACTTAAGACTCGACCCAGGTTGGCAGGCCAAAGACTCAAGACCTGATTCAGACTCGCAGGCCAGACACTTGACCCTGACTTGAGACCCGGACTCACACCTCTGAGATTCATGCCTCAGAGACTCTAGACTCAACTGGGACTCGCACCTCAGAGACTTGACACTCAACTCAGCCTTGATTCAGACTCACAGGCCAGACACTCAACTCGGATTTGAGACTCAGACTCACAACTCAGAGGTTTGACTCGGACTCATGCCTCAGAGACTCTAGACTCGACTGGGACTCGCACCTCAGAGACGTGACACTCAACCTAGATTGGCAGGCCAAAGAATTGAGCCTTGATTCAGACTCACAGGCCAGACCCCCAACTCGGACTCACACCTCAGAGGTTCAGCCCAGACATGTGCCTCAGAAACTCTAGATTCGACCTTTGCTGAAGGACTAGAGGACGACAAATTAAGTCTAACACACTAAAAAGACATTTGTCCTGCCTAAATCTCAAAGTACATACATCATCTAAACCGCTTATCCTTCTGGGTCGCGGTGGGGTGCTGGAGCCTATCCCAGCTGTCATTGGGCAGAAGGCAGGATACACCCTGGACAGGTCGCCAGCCCATCGCAGGGCAGACAGACAGACATACACATTCACACACTCACACCTAGGGGCAATTTTAGCATGTCCAATTGGCCTGACTGTATGTCTTTGGACTGTGGGAGGAAACCGGAGTACCCGGAGGAAACCCACACAGACACGGGGAGAACAGGCAAACTAAAAAAAACAGGCAAAAATAAAAAAACAAAAACAAAAACAAAACATTAATACATCTCATATTTCAGTTACTGTTATGCTGTGGAAACTATTATTTTTCCTTATCCTTCCTTTCCTAGTATCATTCCTCATGCACAAGTTGTTTTTGATCTCTTGGAGGCCTTTCCAGGCTGAAGTTGGGTTTTTAGCAGCAATCAGATGATTTGTCTCTACAAACAGATCAGAACTGTCTAGGCAGTGATCTTCTCTGTGGTAATTTGTGGATGAGAAAGCTGGACAATAAACAAGCAAGACAGGAAAAATATTGATGCCTTTGAACTTCGGCATTCATTTCTTACCATTTCTCATAAAATGATGGTCATTATTCTGTAAAAATGAAATATTTAAAAAAAATCAAATCTGTGAAACACGGGCAGTTCCTATTGATTTCGTAATTCCATTTTGTGATTTTGTAATTTTGTGACTTTCTTACATTTGTGGTCATGCAAACAAAATAAATTTGGGGTTACTGAATTCCTGAGAACATCCTTATCACAACAATCCATTATTTAAAATAAAACATGGTTTATCTTATACACTTGCATACTGATTTACTTGTTTACTAATATATTTGTGCTGGTCTGTCAACATTTTCACAATTTATATATTGTTAATGTAATGAGAATTTTTGCAGTTAGGTGCACTCCAAATGTTTCATCACTACCGAAACAGTCACTACTGAAACATTTGGTAAAGGTTGGGTTATGACCGTTTTGTTAGTGAATTGAATGTTCAATTGTTTATTTGAATAAAATAAACATAATTAAGGTATAGTATCACTCAAAGCAAAAGGATTTTAGTCTAAAGGTCAAGTCTAATTTAAAAGTCCAAAATGAGTTTTCAACTGCGACTTTAAACCTATTTGGTAGAATGACACAAACTTGTATACTACTACGCTTGTGTTACTCTGTCCACACTTTCACGTCATTTTGCCATTTTATATATCACTTCCCAGATAGCGAGTATATGTTGGTGCGCTGGCTTGATAAGGTTGGCAGTCCACTGATGGTTGGCCACTGCTGGTCCACCCTCGGACCACCCAGACTACTGTCCTGCATACAACCTCTATCTAGTTTTTAATCTCCTCAAACAGATTTTAAATGCACAGAGACTTTTATTTTGGAAAATAAATTAAGACAAATATAACGCACAACTGAGCAAAGAAGAAAAAAAAATAATGACAGTTGGACTGTAAGTGGAAAATGAGCGATGATAAGTGGAATTTTGTCTATTACTCTGTTTAACCACTGGTGGGCCGCCCAGAAAACGTTGAGCAAAACACCAGTGGACCACCAGCTTTGCCATCAGTGGGCCAACAGTGGTCCACTATCCTCTTGCTATCAGGATTATTAACTAAAACAATACTTTCTGACTTTGAAAGAGGGGACAAAAGGTAAAAAGCGCTTAAGTTTGGTTGTATTAGGGGTTGCAGATTATAAAAATCATCGAATGAAACGCACATTCACATTTTATATATCTTCCATCTAACGTGAATTCTCCCTGTTACTAATTGCGCACTGATGTTTAATAAGTGACTTTTATTTTGGAAAAAAAAAACGGTGACAATAGCCAAGAAGCGCTTGATGATGACACCACGCATTTGGCACCGCCTCCCTTGCAGCTCTAGTCCAATCAGACGCTGTGAAGGTTTTGGCGCGCATTGACAGAGACTGTGAGTAACAGCAGAGCAGCGCGTGCACTGTAAACACTGTAAACAACGCAGTGGCGTTCTGTGTTCTGTAGAATATCCGGCACGCGCTGTAAACACTGTTTTAGTTTCAGTTTCGGTTTGAGGGATGGAGGCGAAGAGAAAACGGTGTTTTGGAGAGGAGGACGGAGAGGAGGAGGAGGAGGAGAGTGATACAGAGGCTGTTCGCGAGACCGACAGCGAGAGCTCGGTCTGCTCCTACGACTCTGAGGAGGAGGAGGCCTTCCTGGAGGGAGAGGATCTCCTGCTGGATCGGTATGAACTGTGTTTTGCTCTGTCCTGCTCGCTTTCACCCTCGATTAGCAACACCTCAGTTTAGCCAGATAGCTTAAAGGGCAAGTCCACCGATTAAAAAAAATCATCTTTAGAATTCAGTGTGTGAGATGTAAACAGAGTGATTCAGAGTGGTTTGGTGTGAAATGGTCTTTACAGTGTGTTGTAGTCGCCATGACTACAACACAAATATAGACATTTTATTTACTATCCAGAACCACCAGTGAACCTACATGAGCCTTCTGAGTTTATATGGAATGTTGATGATGGTAAATAGTGGGATGTTTTATAAATAGTTTTCTTTGGTAGGGGTGTAACCGTTTTCTTAATCCACAGTTTTTTTGTTTTGTTTTTGATTTTTTTCAGTGGGATGGGGGATTATGGGGGGGGTGTTGGGGGATGACTGGGGGGTTAAGAAAAAAAAATTGGGGGTTTTATTAAATCACCAACAGTTTGGAACACCAAAGACAAGAACACTAAACAACATGGTAGATGAACTTAACTTCAGACAAATTAGCCACAGATAAATAAATAAATGACAGCTCACTTAAGACCAGTCTAAGTAAACAAATAGATTTATAATAGATAAGATAAGAAGAGATAATAAAAAATATTTTTAAAATTCCCTGAACTTCGGTCAGAAATAAACAGTGGTTGGTGCTTTCAGTTGACCTGTGAGTTGATATTGTGGAAATGCTTAAAGTAGGTTTTAATCTCTTCTTAAAGAACACGTCATGTCCACATTGTCCAGTGGGAGGCTTGCTCTCTGTGCTGTGACAGTGTCCCCTGCAGTAGTGAGAACTCACTGGGTCTCACTGGGGACAGCTGATGCTGGGACTTTGGCTAAGTTGGGCCTTATTCACTAATATCTTCTTAAGTTTGTTCTTAAATGTGTATAACAGAACTGTTCTCACCTTTGTGCTGTTGTGTGTGTGTAGATTCTGTTCTTTCCTAAGAACAAATCCCAGATAAGAGAACGTTGGTGAATGAGGCCCATTGTCTTTGCCCTGTTTAAGAGAATTTGACTGCCCCAGGAGGCTCTGCACTGCCTTATAATGCTGGCCTCAACATTAAGACACTGATGCAGTGTTTAAAACTGTAAACGTTATCTGGAAAGTGAACAGGGCTCGCTGTGAATAACAGTTACTTTCGTCTCTGTTCCAACTCCATTAACGATACCAGGGAACAGCATTTTGTAGTAGGACAGAATTTAGCATTAACATTAGCTAACTAGCACAATTATCGCCGCGTCCCAAACCGCACACTTCTGTACTTCACACACTACACCAATGAGTGCACTTCTAGTGGTATATGGACTATTTTTACACACTATTTAGTGAGCTAGTATGCGCTTTGGGACGAGGCCTATCTTACTGAGATGAATCTTCTTCATGCAGCGAGCCGATGAGTTTCCTCTTCAGATGCTCCGACATGGAGGATGTGCTCCCATAGCCAGCTGAGGTCGGCTTTACAAATAGCACAACCCGCAACTGAGCTTAGCGTGAAATGCTCCCACGCTTTTGAGGATTTTGCTCTTTAGGCTGCCTTTGCGCTTTTGTCAACTCTCCAGTGAGCGCTAATGTCAAAACATTCCTAGTGAGCGCGAGAAAGAGGTGTAATGATGTCACCAACTAATCCACTGTTTAATTAGTTGCCAACTAATTTGGTCGTCGATTTTAGTCGACTAAGTCGAATAATCGTTGCACCCCTACTCTGCACTGCCTTGTAATGCTGCATCTCCTCATCCATTGGTTCAGACAAAGCCTTGGGTGATGGTGTCTGTTCCAGTGGAAATAAGTGTCCAACAGTTCAGTGATTAGTGCTCTTTTGGCTGGAGGTTCACCACTGCTGCTGGATGCCATGTCCGTCTCCTCCCCTGAGGCCTGGGCCTAACAAAAAACAAATCCAGAAAACATTTGCAATATAATGTTACTGTCAGACATTATTACAGTAAAAATATCCAGGAAAATCACATAATTAACACCACCAAAAACAGAAGTACGTTTCTGGTGGTTTAAGCTTTTATCGCCTGTTCAGTTATAGTTAAAATGCTGAAATTCAATGAAAATAGTAAGTTTCTCTAGAACAGAGCGTTTCACACCAAACCACTCTGAATGACTGTTTACATCCTAAGAAATTAATTATATGGATTGTTTGAAAAATCAGTGGAAGTCCCTTATAGCCTGTAGTGGAGGATTGTCCAGTAGGAATGTCCTGCAACTTTTTGAATAAGAAACAGGCTTGGCTAATCTGAATTCCTGCTTTGTGAAAGATCCCCCAGGGCATTTTTTTCTTATTCAAAATCGTTCATACATCTATACTTGCAGACCTAAGTTAAAAGTTCTGCGCAGACAGCATGTAACACTGTTAACATCCAGTGGTTCTGAACGTAGGACTTGGGAATGTGACAGATTCTGATGTAACGTTGACTGAGTTAAAACAAACGCTTATCATTTGTTTATCATAAACACTTTAGATTGACCACCCTTTTTCCATAATAAACCTCAAGCAACATGCTTGCTCAAACAATAGACATAGACAATGGTTCTATATGGAACCATGAACATCTAAAGAACGATTTGCTTGCTTAAAGGGTTCTTTTCATAGTGAAATGGATCTTCAGATTGATGGAGAATGTGTTATGTATGGTTCTATATAGAACCTTTTTGAAAATGGTTCTATAAACCACTAAAAAGAGTTCTGGTATTATTATGATGTCAAGCTTATAACAACAGAAGAACCCTTTTTGGTGATATATAGGACCATTTTCAAAAAGATATACAACACAAATATCCACAAAATCCTTCTGTTTTGGTCTTATTGGATCTTTAGTGCAGCTTCTGGTACCGTTGATCACAAGTTTCTGATCCACCATCTTGAATGCTGAGAAGGCCGCTCAGGCACAGTTTTACAGTGGTTTAAATCATATTTAGTTTGTTAGTTTTAGTCCCACAGGGTTCAGCTTTAGGGCCTTTGCTTTTCTCTTTGTACATGTTACCAAATGTCATTAGGAAACATAATATCAATTTTCATAGTTATGCTGATGACATGCAATTATACATTTCCATTCCTTCTGATAATCAAGACTCTGTAGACAGACTGACAGCTGTGCGTCAGATATTCCTCAATGGATGTCACAAAGTTTTCTACTCAACGTAAGTAAATCATGAAAAAACTGAAATTCTGATCGTTGGTACTAAAACCCAGAAAGGCTGCTTTATAAGAGACTTGGTTCTTTAGCCTCATAAACCAAACCTGAAGTACAAAACCTGTGTGTGACTGCATGTAATCGCGGTCACTAAAGGAGCTTTTTGTCATTTGTAAGCCTCCAGTACAGTGACAGTAATGACTTATTATGCGAGTTTTGTTTATGTACTTATTTAACATTGTTATTTTATTTATTTAGTGATTACAATGATGAAGACAGTAATGAGGAATGGGAGCCGAGTAAGTCATCAGAAGGAAAAAGAGCCAAACCTGCGTCATCACCATCAGCCAAGAAACGCAAGACCATCCCTGTTACACTGACACCACCATCAACATCTTCTGGCTCCTTATCTGAGGGGCCATGCTCCACCCCAATGTCAAGTTCAGACAAATGCAAAGGATCAGCTTCAAAGAGGACACCTAAGCGGAGGTCCAATTCTACAAAAAAATGTCCCTTGCAAGCTGCTAGTGATGATGATGATGATGAAAAGGATATGTGGCATGACATTTCAGAAGAAGACAAACAGCCTGACCTTCCCAGTTTCCAGCCACAGCGTCCTCCTGGCCCACAACTCCTCTCATGTACATCGTATACTCCTCTTGAGTTGTTTAAGTTGTTTATGTCCATGTCTGTGGTTGGAAAAATTGTTGAGAATACGAATGCGCATGCTGAGAAAAGAGCACAGGCTGGAAAAAGATACACCTGGTATCCTCTCACAGTTGAGGAGTTCTACACCTACATTGGCCTCGTCATATACATGGGTTTAATGCCACTAAAACGATTCAGTGACTACTGGAGTGAGAAATCAATTTACAATCTTCCCTTTCCCCGCTCCGTCATGTCCAGGAACCGGTTTCTGGCAATAACATGGAATCTTCATCTTTGCAATCTGGAGAAGGATGAGGAGAACATGTGTAAAAAAGGAACCCCAGAGTATGACCGGCTGTTCAAAATAAAGCCTCTGTATACGGATCTTCTGTCTGCATGCCAGACCTATTTTCAACCTAGCAGAGAGCTGTCTATTGACGAAAGGATGGTGGCATCCAAGGCCCGTATAGGACTAAAGCAGTACATGAAGGACAAGCCCACGAAATGGGGATGCAAACTCTTTGTGCTTGCTGATTTAGCCACTGGGTACACCTGGAACTTCTTTGTGTATGAGGGAAAGAGCAAGCTGAAGACACAGAATGGACTAGGCTATGACTCAGTTACTCAGCTTGTGAATCACCCCTTGCTGGGCAAGGGTTATAAACTGTACATGGGCAATTTTTACACAAGCCCCAAGCTTTTATCTGATTTGTATGCAGCAAAAACGCTTGCATGTGGCACCATCCCAATGAAACGACAGGGCTTTCCACGCACCAGGTGCCACGACATGCCCAGGAAAGCAGTGAGAGGAACGATCCGCTGGATTAGGCGTGGTGAGCTTCTGTTTGTTAAGTGGATGGACAACAGGGAGGTAGCTTTATGTACCACTATGCACAAAGCGTATGATGGAGACAACGTGAGCAGGAGAGTCAAAGACACTAAGGGCGTCTGGCAGGTGAGCCAAGTCCCTATCCCATGTGCAGTCCAGGACTACAACAAGAACATGGGTGGTGTGGACTTCTCAGATGCCCTGGTTGGCTGCTATAACGTGCTGCACAAAACCAAGAAGTGGTACAAGACCGTTTTCTACCATTTCATTGACATTGCAGTTGTGAACAGCTTCATAATGCACAAAGAACTGACTAAGGCAAACAGCCGGGAAACAGTGATGCACAAGCAGTTCAGAGAAACTCTTGCAACTGACTTAACCAAAATGCTCACCCGCTTGGCTCCACCTCAGCCGCCTTTAGCAGGTGATGAATGTTATCCCGATTTCTTCTCAGAAGACTCTAGAGTTGGGAGAAGGGCGTGCGAGTTGTGCAAACAAGACGGCAAAAAAGTGAAGACCTCTGCTTTCTGCATGAAGTGTAGAGTGGCATTGTGCTTGATGCCCAAGCGCAACTGTTTCCTGCAGTGGCACCAGGAAGGGCTTCACTACATAGGGTAATGGGGCTTTAACCAGAGTTGAATTGGAGTCACATGTTGACTGACTTGCAACTTGACTTGGGTGCCTCCTTAACTGGATCACAATATAAGACTTATATCATGTGGGCAAGTCACATGGTTTGATGTTCGCTTCCAGAGCTACAATACCTACTTATTTCTCAGCCACCTTCCAACTTGAAGTTGCATCTCAGAGACTCGAGACCTATCTCAACCCCAGAGACTCAGGACCCAACTTGGAGTTGCATCTCAGATACCCAATTTGCACTCACACCCCAGATGTAGACCCAACTCAAAGTCGCACCCCTGGGAGTGGAGATCCGACCCAGACTCGGACTCGCACCTCAGAGATTTGAGACCCGACTCAAACTTGTACCTCAGAGACTCAAGACCCGTTTCGGACTCACGCCTTGTACCTCGGAAACTTGAGACTGGACTTGGACTCGCAGACCCAATTTGCACCTTGGAGACTTGAAACTCATTCATTTTTAAAGAACTGTGGGAGTAAAGCCAGGGGGTACGGGTTTGTATGGTTGAGTGCACCTGGCTGGCCCTAAGCTACCAAATGATAAAGAGTATGTTTCTTCATAGACTTTTAAAATGACCTTCTTTTTCTGACCAAATGAGGTTCTAATAGATTTGCAAAAATGTATAAATGTTTGAAAACGTCAGATTTTACACTGTTCGTGGTATTAAGTTCTAAAGTAGTTCCTAAAGACAAGGTTAATAAGACTAACTGTGTATATTAAATAACTTCAGTATGCTTCACTGACCAGGACTGTCTTACTGACAGTGGTCAAAGGCTAATGACTGGTGAAGGACTAGAGGATGACAGTCAATTCTAACACACTAAACACATATCCTTTGTATATACCCAGGGTTTGGATGTAATGGAATACTAGTATTAGGATAACCTACTCAGAATACAGAAATTAAGTATCTGCATTCAGTCCAAGTTACATTTTGTAAAGGTAGTATTCAGAATCCGGTTACTTTTTACATTTTTAGGATAATAATTTTAGAACATTTCACTACTCAATTTTAAAATATATACCTTCAGAAGAAACACTATAAATGCTTGTTTATTAACCATTTTAAAATTAGCACAGTGTCTGAAGATGGTACTTTAAAGAAAAACTCAAACAGCTTCTTTACAAACACTGATGTTCCTGCTAAAGCCTGAGTAGACTGATAAATCACTGTGATGAGTCAGTTACTCAGCATTACTAAACCCATTTGAGGGATGACTGAACTGAACAGTTTCCTCAGTAGTGCACATGTTCACGAGTGATAAGCTTGGCTTTGGCATTGTACTGGATTTGTTGCAGACGTTTTGTGGCAAGTTACACATGTTATTAACTGGAAATCACACAGTTATCCACTTTATAGTCAAATTAGCAAGATTTTGTTATTGTGAAATGGCAGATTGCTGGCTTAGGGTATGAAAGGGCAGTGGGATTATGGGAGCAGCCTGGACCCAAGCAGGCCATGAGAGCCAAAATAATGTTGAGATGTTTGTATTCATTTATCAATATATATTCTAAATGTATTAATATGCTACTTTTTATCTATTGTAATGGAATACTTTACCAAACACATTAAGGATAGTGTATTTAGTATTCATGCACCGCTACTTTTTCAAAGTATTTTGCCCAGTTCTGCATCCACCTCAGTGATTGATCTGTAAATAAAATAAATATGCCACATTACAAACCATATTTCAGTGCATTGCTGTGTTGTGGAACCTATTATTTTTCCTTTGTTGAGGTCTTTGAAAAGCATTGTATTAGAGATTAAAAATGAATACATTTTTTCAAGATGACATTTCAGTCAGTGTTTCTTTTACTATGCATGTTATTTTCAGAAATGATTTATTTTTTTCGGAGGCACTTAAAAACTTTATTTCTTGAATTTTATGTCATTGTGCTCACGCATGTGGTTCTCTCACTACATTTAATGTATTTAAAGTTGTTGTATTAACCAGTGAACCAAATTGTAATTTAAACATTAAAAAAACGTGTCTGTTGTCTTTCTGGTGTGGCCTTATTTTGTCTCACTTACTTGGGGTATACTGATATAGAAATTGTGGGCTGGTGTGAGATTTTCATGTACACTCTTGTACATTAAAAAAAAGGCCTTATCCAAAATGTAATGTAAATAATTTTACTGATGGTTTTGGGCTGGTCAGAGTCCAGATTTATACCCTATAGAGAATATTTGGTCTCGCATGAAACACAAACTAGCTCTGCAGTGTTTTTCAGCTGTTTGAAGCCATCAGTGCTGGGTTGTTCAATACTGACTCTTCTTTCTATAAAAACTGTCTAAGTTTACACACAAAACTTCAAAAATGTGTTTAAAAAACATTTAAAGAAATCAATGGGAAAAACTTTCCTACACTAACCTACTGCATCTATTGTTTAATTCACACAAATATACTGACTAATGATTTGTTGTTAAGACCATTAAAAGCTTAATGTTTTGCCAATTTGGGCTTGGCCCATTATTTTTGCTCTGGTGTGTATATAACTGTCGATGCAGATACATAAACATTTACAAAATTTAGAAATTGGAACTACATCTATTTTGGTTAGCATTACAGATGAATACAATATTTCTATTGGGTTAACGTTAGGGTACAATAAAAAGACTGTGGTCCAAAACTGAGACCATATTAATAATCTGGGAATTAAAATTCAAAAAGAAATATTCAGGACAATTAAAGCTTGTGTTCGGATGACTCTCAGATGGATTTGCTCTGCTCATCGGAGGATTTTGCACAAGTCTGCCAAGTTCATGCCAGCTTGCGTGTTTGCGGTCATTAAAGCAAAAGAGGGACATACAGCACCAAATACTTTAAATTCTGAAATTCATTTTAAAATTAGAATTGGAATTAAAATCTACTTTTCACCCAAATTGTTATGCTGACTATATCATCTGTAATAAAAAAAACTTGTATGAAAGTAGAAAAGAATGCACATTAGAATCATTTTCAGTAGTGTGCTCAGACTTTTAAATCCCAAAGTTGAATATGATGCTTATTTTTTTAAAATGATCTGCTGTTAACAATATAATTCAAATTTTATACAGATACATTAAAAAACATTCATTCCCTGCAAATCATCTGATTTTGAGACACATGTTGAAGTTTTTGGACTTAAATCTTGAAGATATATTTGGCATAACAGCAACACAACTCATCAGCTAAAAGAACACCACACCTGCTGTGAAGCATGGTGGTGGGAGCATCATGTTTAGGGGCCATTTTTCTTCAGCAAGGAGGGGGCTGTAGTCACTATAGACAAAATAATGAGTAGCTCCAAATATCAAAATATTTTGGCATAAAATCTGCTGGCCTCTGTCAGAAAGCTAAAGATGCAGAGGAATTTCCAACATGCTAATGATTCAAAACACACATGCAAGTCAAACAAGGAATGGCTTCAAAAAATAAATATGTCTTAGAATGGCACAGAGGCCAAACCTTGGAAGACCTGGGAAACAACCTAAATCATGCACAGGAGATCACCTGGCAATTTGAAGGAGTTTCTGCAAGAAAGAGTGGGATAAAATTGCGTAGTCCAGATGTTAAGACTTGTTTACTTAATGTTTTGTAATGTAGACGTATTAGAGTTGAGTAGTATTTGTGCAGATGTGCTCACCTAAACAACCAGGGTATTTAGGCAATTTAGAAATCCTGGCCAGACATATTTTTAGATCACAAAAAGAGGACATGTCCTGGAAAAAGAGGTTCACCTTAAACTAGCATGTTTTTTATTAAGGGTGTGTAGGGTTTTGAAATTAACTGTACTTGAGTAGAAGTGAAAATATTATTCGAACATTCTCAGAAAAGTACTAATCCAAACTTTAGTTTACCCCTGCTGAAAAGACCAGTACAGACCAGCTTTAATTCCACCTGAGCTAGTGTATGCTGGTCTGGTGCTTGCCTGGTGCTGGTTTAGCATGGTCAATGTGGGTGACCAGCATACCCACATTGAAAACAGAACATATATTGGGTTTGGGTGCTGGTATGCTGGTCATCCACCATGACCATGCTGCGTGAGCACTAAACACTAGGCTTGTTTGGACCAAGGCCAAATGGCTTTATAAGATCTAGGTGACCTAAAGAGTTTTAAAACCTTTCAGAAACCTACTTTTGTTTACTTGTTAGAGATGTGTAGTAACTACCACTCTCTAACAAGTAAACAAAAGTAGGTTTCTGAAAGGTTAAGCTCTTTGTAAGCTGGAGTTAAAATGGGGCTCAATAAATACAAATCTATAATCACTGTTATTATTATTATAAATACCATGGTGCCTTCACATTGATATTCTTAATACACGCACAAGATGAATTCTGTGTGTATTAATACATTGTGAGATTTTTATTTAATTGCCACTAGAGGGTGATAAAAGCTTCAGTTTATTACAGACTCTTACCTGGCTTAGAGACTTCACAGCACTGTCAAATGCCCTGGAGCCCAGTTGAAAAGTCTCATGAATTTTGTTGTCAAGGAAAGATGCAAGTTGAGTTGAAAAACAGGAAATAGAAAATAAAACAAAAATAAAAAAAGGTAAAGTTATTATCAATAAAACACAAAAGAGCTCTGAGGAAGTATCCATTACTAATTAGAAGACAATCTAAATAAATGCTAAATAAATGTATGTAACTCAGGAACATTGTAAATAAGGGTCACCATCAATGTTCTCAGAGGTTAAATGAAGGTTGATTGATTGATGTATCAAAAAATGTAAGTTATTAGAATCTACTTTTATTATTTAAAGATCAAATAATTCAAAATTTTAAGGGAGCCTGGATTTATGATCTTTTTATGATCTTTTTATGATCTTTTTTATGATCTCTTTTGACTTCGTAATTATAAATATGAACAAACAAGTGTGCATTCATTAGCATGAACAAGGATATGTTTAAAACAAAACATACAAAACATTGACACCTCATATGAATTACATTATTACTTTGTTGTAAAGCTAAATTAACTTTTTGCAGCACTGTGGTTCTATATATATATATATATATATATATATATATATATATATATAGGGTAAAATGTGCAAATTGCACCTGATATCATTACAAAACCGACAAGACTCGGGAGATCCTTTGTCCCTAGAGCCATTAGGCTATTCAACTCTTCCCAGGGGGTCCAGAAGAGAAGAGAGAAGAGGGAAGAGGAGAGATGAGGACTGAATCTCATGCTAAATCATAGGTTTATTTTATCTATCTGCACATATGGACACCTTACTGTACATTGCTCTTTCTGTAACCCCTATCGCATATCTTGCACATCTGGACACTCCACTCCTGGACACTTTATTTTAGCCCCAATATATGCACATAAACATTCAGTATTGACATAATATGCTGTTACCTGCGCCGCCTTCATTATTACACTGCCTTTTTCATCTCAGGTTATAGATCTTATTGCAGATTTTTGTATATCTCTAGTTGTATATATGCCTGTAGATAGGATTTTTTGTATATATTCTTCTTTTTATATTGTATCACCCTTATTATTATTACTGTCCTGTGTTGTGCGACTGATACTGGCTGCTAACTTTCCTTTGGGATCAATAAAGTATCTATCTATCAATCTATCTATCTAAAAGATGTTGCCACTGGTAGGAAAGATTTACATGATGAGTATCAATCATGGTAAAGGATCTTCCTAAAGTCCTCAGGGATGACAATGTTGCAGGGTCAGCATAGAGTAAGACACAGTGGTGGTATGATTCCACCACCAGAAGCACTCTTTACTGAACACCAGGGCAGAAAGGCACAAACGACATACTGAACTTGCAGGGGAGGTCACCACCAGCCACAAGCTTCACCCTGACCAACCACTAACTCAAAACACTCTAACTAAACCTGCATCCCAACATACAAAGCCTCAGATAAAACATATTTATACTAACAAACAACAACATTTAAACATGTTTAAGTCCATTTTTAGCAGGAGCGCCTACCAAGAGCCTTGGTGTGTGGCCGTTCACCTGGCCATGCCCCCCGAGCCTCTCTGAGCCAGCGACGGCCAGGAGAGGGTCGCTACAATATTAATCAACACTCCAACGGAGTCCTAGCAAAGACCTTAAACAGCCCTGTCAGGACAAGTGATATGGTATTGGAAAGTTCATGGAAGCACAGCTAAGCAACTCCAGACAGGAGCACCATGCAAAATTTCAAGAGAGTCACTGCAGGACGCCTGAAAGCAGCAGAACAACAGATACACAGAGAACAATACGCTGTGAACTGCACCTTCCTAAACCCCACATAACACTCCTCTGATGAAACAGAAGCTCAGAGGTGATCTTCTAAAATCTAGACGAATCAGAACGATGTTCTCTGATCAGATGAAACAAAGGTAGAACTGTATAGAAGGTTGCCTGTATGATCCCAGGAACACCTACAGTGAAGCATGACGGTGGGAGCATCATGATATGGAGCTGCTTCTCTGCAGAGAGTACTGGAGCGTTTCACACCATCCGAGGGGACATGAATGGAGAGACATTCTGAGAGATATTAGAGGTGAATTCAATCTCAATAAGACAGCAACAGACAGACAACTCAAGACTGGTTTCTGAAAAGGTGAAGGTGCTTACATGGCCTAGCCAATCTCTTTACTTAATTACCATTGAAAATGTGTGGAGGATTTTGAAATTGAGGGTTCATCAGAGGGGAACTGAAGATGGCTGACCATGAGGGAAACTGATGCAATGCTGCAAAAAAGTGAATTACGTCTTACTGTAGAAAACTGTGAATACCAACAACAAAGTACTGATATTAATTTGTGGTTTCTAAATGCATTTTTCCTTATCTTTTTATTTTTTAAAAGACATCTTTCTTTTTCCTTATAAAAACATACCTTTTTGTTTAGATTTAGAAGGACAAAGTCAAAAGACGTAAATTTGAAGTGACAAAAGTAGCAAGCAAAAAAAAAAAAAATTCAGGTTTCCTTCACTCTATCCCCTCAGCAGGGGTCAGTTTCTGACCAAAGAGCCACTCATGGTTGAATATTTTTGATATATTCTCAACCTATCAGGGACACTGAAGTCTAAATCCCAGCATATTATAGAGATATTGTTATTATTGCCTCTTTTACAGTCTCTCAAGCGCACAGAATGAACGGCTCAGTCTCTAAAGCAGTGATTTCTAAGCCAGACCACATTTTAGATCCATTAAAGATCAATTTAAACCAGCACTTCCCAATTAAAGGAGCCCAAACTCTGCTCTTTTGTGTTTCCCCTATTCTAACTCTCCTTATTCAGCTCTGAAATCAGCTGAGAAACCACTCATTTAAACCCAGCCACAGTCAGATGTCTTTTTCAAAGCACTTGCTGTGAACTATATGTCCATAAGTATGTGGACACCTGACCATCACACCTATGTGAGCTTGTTGGATATCCCATACAAAACCATGGGCATTAATATGGAGTCGCCCCCCCCCTTTGCGACTCTTCTGGGAAGCTTTCCACAAGATTTTGGAGTGTCTGTGTGAATCTGTGCCCTTCAGTCAAAAGAGCATTTGTGAGGTCAGACACTGATGTAGGCTGAGAGGGCCTGGCTCACAATCAGCGTTCCAGTTCATCCCAAAGGTGTTCAGTGGGGTTGAGGTCAGGGCTCTGTGCAGGCCACTGGAGTTCCTCCACACCAAACTCACCACTCCATGTCTTTATGGAGCTGCTTTGTGCACAGGGGCTCAGCCATGCTGGAACAGGAAAGGCTCTTTCCCAAACTGCTGTCACAAAGCTGGAAGCACATAACTGTGTAAAATGTCTTTGTGCTGTAACATCAACATCACCCTTCACTGGAACTAAGGGGCCTGAAAAACAGCCCCAGCTCATCATCCCTCCTCCACCAAACTTTACTGTTATCACTCTGCATTCCAGTAGGTAACGTTCTCCTGGCATCCACCCAACCCAGATTCATCCATCAGACTGACAGACAGAGAAGCTGATTCATCACTCCAGAGAACTCGTTTCCACTGATCCAGAGTCCAGTGGCGGCACTTTAGATCACTCAAGCCGACACTTGGCATTGAGCATAGGCTTGTGTGCAGCTGCTCAGCCATGGAAACTCATTTTATGAAGCCCCTGATGTGAAGTTCTTGTGCTGATGTTGCTTCTAGAGGCAGTTTGGAACTTTATAGTGAGTGATGCAACAGAGGTTTGATGATTTTTATGCACTGGCAGCCCAGCTATGTGAGTTTCTGTGGTCTACGGCTTCGTAGCTGAGCTATTGTTGCTCCTAGACACTTCAATTTCACAAAAATACCATTGACTGTTGCAGATCTAGCAGGACAGAAATGTATTGATCTTAGATATAAAACACAAAATATGAAATGTGCCATAACATTTGCACAAGCCACATTTTATTGTGCATTAAAACACGCAGAAGTGTGTTCTCTGTAGGGGATGCGTTAACTTATTTACGCTTATTAACATTTAACCAGAGGCGCTTAAGCCTTTGCATATGCACTCCGTGCGTAAAATGCAGCGGTACCGCTCCCCGCCGCCAGATGGCGCCTCGATACTCCGTTTTCCTCTCTCTCTCATTCTCATTCTCTCTCTCCCTTACTCTCTCGCTCTCTCCTCCCTCCCTCTCCCTTTCTCTGTAGCTCTCGCGCTCTCGCTTGCACAGAAACGCGAGCAGAGAGAGAGGGAGCGCGCAGCCGTCTCTCCATCCGTTCTTTTCTTTTCTCTCTCTCTCGGTTTTTTTCCCCTCTCCGTCGCGCGCGCGATGCGTCTCCGCGCGCTCTCGCCGCGTTCCCTGCTCTCGCTCGCGCTCGCGCTCGTCCTCTTCGCCGCGTGCGCTCCTCCTGCTGCTTCCACCTCTTCTTCCTCCGCGACTCCGGGCTCGCCGTCTCCCGGGCGTCTCGCGCTCAGCAGCAGCTCGTTCGTGCTCAAGGGCGACGCCACGCACAACCAGGCGATGGTGCACTGGACCGGAGAGAACAGCAGCGTGAGTACCACGAGACCCGCGCTTCTGCTGCGCGAGGATGGCTGGGGCATTAAAAGAGAAGCCGTGCAACCAGCGCACCAGTGGTGCACGAGCTGACTGCATCATTCATGCCGTCAGCTCGTGCACCGCTGGTGCACTCATTGGTTCCATGGAGCACTTTTAGAACATTGTGTTTGATGGACATGGTGGGGGTTCTGGTAAAGTGGAGGCTGCTTGTCAAAGCCATGCTCACTGGCCACTTTATTGGAAACCCCTCTCTTGTGGTTCCACCTTGCTGGTGATCAGTTGGAGGCTGAAGCTCATCTGCTGATGCCAGTCCTTCATCAGTGGTCAGTTTCTGACCGCTGAGATGCTCTTGGGTGGGTTTTTTTTAATGAGCGTCCACTCTCAACTCAGCAGTGACCCTGACTTGGTAGCAGGTGACCTGCTACTGTGAGCATAATAGCCACATCAACGTTTCTGGGTTTGTCACACGTGTCAGTGTCACTGCTGTGCTGAGAATGGTCCACCACCAAAATAACATCTAGTCAATATCTGGTCCCGCGGTCAGATACTGACCAGTGACGGCTGGCATAGACGAGGAGCTGATAAACTGTGCAGCCACAGAAAAAAGGCAGGTGTTTCTAATAAAGTGGTCAGTTAGTGGAAGTACAAGGTAGGTGTTTCTATTGAAGTGGCCAGTTAGGGAAGTACAAGACAGGTGTTTCTAATAAAGTGGCCAGTTAGTGGAAGCACAAGGTTAGTGTTTCTAATAAAGTGGCCAGTGAGTGGAAGCATAAGGTTAGTGTTTCTAGTAAAGTGGCCAGTTAGTGGAAATACAAGGTTAGTGTTTCTAACAAAGTGGCCAGTTAGGGAAGTACAAGGTGGGGGTTTCTAATAAAGTGGCCAGTTAGTGGCAGAACAAGGTAGGTGTTTCCAATAAAGTGGCCAGTTAGCAGGAGTACAAGGTAGGTGTTTCTAATAAAGTGGCCAGTTAGTGGAGGAACAAGGTAGGTGTTTCCAATAAAGTGGCCAGTTAGTAGGAGTACAAGGTTAGTGTTTCTAACAAAGTGGCCAGTTAGTGGAAGTACAAGGTGGGGGTTTCCAATAAAGTGGCCAGTTTGTAGAAGTACAAGGTAGGTGTTTCTAATAAAGTGGCCAGTTAGGGAAGTACAAGGTGTGGGTTTCCATTAAAGTGGCCAGTTAGTGATAGTACAGTTTAGGGGCTTAGTAGAAGAACAGGGTGGCCGTGTGTTTTGGTCCGAGCACAGTCTGTACAGTGTGTCGTCATGGCTTTGTGTGGCCGAGCTTGAAGACGTTGGGTTTTTTTCTCGTGTTGTGTTGCTGATTTGTTCTTTACACCATGTTTATTTGAATCTGCTTTTTTTGCCTTGCACTCGATGTTCCTCTCTTAACTCCTACAACTGTCTTGCTCTATTTTTGAAATGGAAACAGTCACGTAGCGCTTGCATTTGAAGTTGCAGATCTGTGCGCTTGGATTGTACATTGCCTGAGTTGTATGTCGTTTTGGATAAAAGCATCTGCCAAGTGAATAAATGAAAATGGAAATGTAAAATGCCAGAGCCAAAATTGTGCTCCTCCCTTTAGACTTCTGTTCACTGCAAATGTAATGAAAAGAGCTCTGGAGCAAACATGCTGCATTAACAGCTACGGTGTTTATATAAAGTTCAGGTGGACCCATGACTGAACACATGAGCACTACATCAGTTAATTTGGTACTGTAAGGGTTAATTCATTAAAAGGTACTACTAAAAGCTCTCAGTATTGTCTTATAGGGAGTTAATTGAGTACTCCAAGAGTTAATTCAGTACTTTAAGGGTTAGGTACTGTAAGGGCTAAGTCAGTACTTGAATAATTAATACAGTACTGTAAGGGTTCAATCAGTACTTTAATAATTAATTCAGTACTGTAAAGGTTACTGTAAAGGTTAAGTCAGTACTTTAATAATTAATTCAGTACTGTAAAGGTTAAATTAGTACTTTAATAATTAATTCAGTACTGTAAGGGTCAAGTCAGTACTTTAATAGGTAATGCAATACTGTAAGGGTTAAGTCAGTACTTTAATAGGTAATACAGCACTGTAAGGGTCAAGTCAGTACTTAAATAGGTGATACACTAGTGTAAGGGTCAAGTCAGTACTTTAATAGGTAATACAGTACTGTAAGGGTCAAGTCAGTACTTAAATAGGTGATACACTAGTGTAAGGGTCAAGTCAGTACTTTAATAGGTAATACAGTACTGTTAGGGTTAAGTCAGTACTTAAATAGGTGATACACTAGTGTAAGGGTCAAATCAGTACTTTAATAGGTAATACAGTACTGTTAGGGTTAAGTCAGTACTTTAATAGGCAATGCACTATTGTAAAGGATAAGTCAGTATTTTAATAGTTAATATAGTACTGCAAGGGTTACTTTGGTACTTTAAGGGTTAACTTATTATTGAATTCAGCACTTTAAGAGTGAAAGCATGACTGTAAGGGTTAATTAATCACTTTAAGAGTGAATTTAGTTCCTTAAGAGTTAATTCAGTACTGTAAGGAATTGGTTGGGTACTGTAAATTTAGTTAATTTAGTTCTAGTTTTAGTAAATTTATTACTGAAGGAGTAATTCAGTACGTTAGACATTCAATACTTTGTGTTAATTCAGTACTTTACAGGTTAATTCACTACTTCAAGCATTGCTTCATTGCCAACGGGGGGTTAATTGATTACTGTACAGGTTAATTCAGTATTGTGAAGGTGAAATCAGTACTTTAAGTGTTAATTAAGTACTAAAGGGGGTTAACCGATTACTGTACAGGTTAATTCAGTATTTTGAAGGTTAAATCAGTACTTTAAGTGTTAATTAGGTACTAAAGGGGGTTAATTGATTACTCTACAGGTTAAGTCAGTACTGGTGGTTCAATTTCTCTCATGTAGTAATGAGGAAGAGTGCTAATGATGATGATGATGGTGGTCATTTTGGTCTGTCATGTGAGCAGCAGGGTGCTGGGTGAGCGTGTGAGAGTGAGAGGGGGTTCAGGGTGACTTTATTGTCTGATTAATTGATTAAACGGGTGCTGTGTGGTGTTTATCTCAGAGGAGAGCGGAGTGAAGCTGCAGGAGTTCAGAGCTGCTGGGTGTTTTTATATGACGAGTTGATCAGTAATGGAATGTAACACTGATAACGTCATTATAGAAGCAAAATATGCCAATTATAGCCAGAGCTTGAGCTTTACCTCATTCATTCATTCATTCATTTGAACATCACTTACTCACTCATTCAGCACCCATTCAGCACTCATTCACTCAATCAGCACTTGCTCAGTATTCGTTCACTCATTCAGCACTCATTTAGCACTCATTCAGCACTCATTTAGCACTCATTCAGCACTCATTTAGCACTTGTTCACTCATTCAGCACTTGTTCACTCCTTTAGCTCTCATTCAGTACTCATTCACTCATTCAGCACTCACTCAGTATTCGTTTACTCATTCAGCACTCATTTAGCACTTGTTCACTCATTCAGCACTTGTTCACTCCTTTAGCTCTCATTCAGTACTCATTCACTCATTCAGCACTCGTTCAGCATTTTGTTTATTCATTCAGCTTCTATTCATTCACATATTTAGCATTTGTTCACTCATTCAGCACTTGTTCACTCCTTTAGCTCTCATTCAGTACTCATTCACTCATTCAGCCCTCACTCAGTATTCGCTTACTCATTCAGCACTCATTTAGTACTTGTTCACTCATTCAGCACTTGTTCACTCCTTTAGCTCTCATTCAGTACTCATTCGCTCATTCAGCACTCGTTCAGTATTTTGTTTATTCATTCAGCTTCTATTCATTCACATATTTAGCATTTGTTCACTCTTTCAGCGCTCACTCGGTATTTGTTCATTCTTTTAGCTTCCATTCATTCACTTGTTCACTCATTCAGCACTCTTTCAGTATTTGTTCACTCATTCAGCACGCGTTCATTATCCTTTCATTCATTTAGCTCTCATTTGGCACTTGTTCACTTATTCAACACTCACTCACCACTCATTCAGTGTTTGTTCACTCATTCATCACTCACTATCACTTGTTCACTCATTCAGCACTCTTTCAGCACTCATTCAGCACTGGTTCACTCATTCAGCACTTTCAGTACTCATTCAGTATTTCTTTGCTCATTCTGCAATCCTTTAGCACTCAGTCAGTACTCGTACACTCATTCTGCACTCCTTTAGCACTCAGTTAGTACTTGTTCGCTCTCTCAGTGATCATTAAGTACGTGTTCACTTATTCAGTACTGAGTGTAAAGTTAATGAATGTAAAGTTAATGAATGTAAAGTTAATGAATGTAAAGTTAATGAATGTAAGCTAGTCCTGCTTTCTGCTTTTGTTTTTTTTCTGAATTGATTTCGGTGTTTTGGTGCGACGCTCAAACTCACTGAACTGTTTGAGTGCTGAAGCTGCTGTTATTGCTTTTTTGATTTTGTTTTGTTCTCTCTCTCTCTCTCTCTCTCTCTCTCTCTCTCGCTCTCGTCCTCTGCTGGTGCTCCTCAAGTGCTCCAAAGGTATAATTACAATCAGTTTGTTTCAGACGAACTTGGAAAACTTTCGGGCCTTTCAGGAAATGAGGCTGTTCTGTTTTGACGCTGTATTATTGTAGAAATTATTGGTCTGGATTGATGGCAAAGAAAAAATCATAATGACTGAAAAATGGAGAGAGAGTGAGAGAGAGAAGCAGGAAATAGGAGAGAAATGGTTCGGCGTTACTGTTCGTTCGTGTTTGTTTCTCTGGGACTTCTGGGCTGGAGAGACCATAACAAAGCCTGCAGAAAAACCAGTACCTTAAAGGCTCAGCACAGTATTTTTCCTCCTTACTCAAAATGTTATGTTGTCAGAAAGTATGTAATCATCTTCATACTTCTGCTCCGGTCCAACATTCATTGGACACTGCGTAGTGCTTAAAATGACCTCTACATTTTAAATTGTTTTGTGTACTGCCCCCTGTCCACTGTTTAGGAATC